CACGTACGTACGTGCATTGCTGCGTCTACACATGTACAGCTGTTACTGTGCGTGAGGTGAACTATGCTGATTTTGTGTGCTCAGTCAAACTTGTTTATAACGGTCACCCGAGGGAAGTCTGCATTATAGATAGTTATCTGTTATATAGAGCTGGTCTCACTGTCCTTCCGCCACTTACAGGGAACCGCCAAAACTGTCGTATATAGACAGGTGCCCATTTTGTAGAGGTGTCTGCTAACACAGGTTTGTTTGCACACATAATATATAGACACCTACTGTCTAGTTGGGCATCGTTTCTTTGTAGAATTATGAGGTACCGAATACTACCAATATATACGTACTGATATATGAACCTTCTATCTAGGGTGATACTCCATTAGGAGTGTTCCCAACTTTAATGTCATTAATGGTCATAATAACATATATATATATATATATATATATATATATATATGGTCATGGTCATATATTAATTTGTGGTTTAATGTCATTTAGGTTAGGGTTAGGGTTAGGGTTACGATTATCAATCATTAATCATTAATCATTAATGATATCAAAGTTGGGAACACTCCTAATGGAGCGTTAGCCTCTATCTAGCAGACCTGCTAGCATCTGAGCAGCTTACGTATGATGATTGTCAGGGTTTCTTCTGAGGGAAAATTAGACAACGGAGGTACTGTATAAGCCGTGGTTAATTTCGCGGTCGGTGAATTATTTATTATTCGGTATTATTCGGTATGAAAGATTCGCGTGTTGTTATTTTCGCGGTTGAGGACGCTTTCGCAAAATTCGCGAAAATTAAACCACTGCGAAATATACAGCTTATACGGTAATAAACAGTTTGGGGAAAAAAACGCATGATGGATTCAAAGGCGCTGCAGGCGGACTAGTAATATGCCAGAATATCAACTCGGGCAGACTCTAAATATGCCAGAAGCCTGTCGTGATCTATTTATTTTTGAGTTAACACTATTTTGACAACGGCGGGTAAATACAGGAACATTTCCACAATGGCGATGTTAAATTTTACAACGGCGGTGCCGGTGCGCCACTGTGCATCTTATGTATAAGAAACCCTGATGGTTAGGGATCGCTTTGATACATCTCCAGGCATCGAATTTGGCAATTTGCCTCTGACAGCAAGTAAGGCTGCTACTTGCTGTCAGAGGGGTGTCAGAGGCTGTGCCCTCTGACAGCAAGTAGCAACACTCTGACGGCAAATGAATATGTTCCGGCGGCAAATGCCGTCAGTTGCCGTCGTAAAATTCAATCCCTGATCTCAGATAGCTCTTCATGGTTTCCCATCTGATTCAAGCAATATTGATAACAATACTTCAGTCTTATTGTCATCCGTGCTTCCTCCACCTTGGAGATCTCTCCCTCTGTCTCCTCCTCTGTGTTCTTTAACTCCCGTGAAATCCGGTGTCTCCGGTATCTCCTTTGTATCCTGGGGCTCCTGTGTCCCATCCTGGGGCTCCTACCCACTCAAATACTGTGTCTCTTTTATCTCCTTTGTCTCCGTCGTCTCCTGTGTCCCATCCTGGGGCTCCTCCCCAGTCCAATCCTGTGTCTCCAGTATCTCCTTTGTACCCTGGGGCTCCTCCCCAGTCCAATCCTGTGTCTCCAGTATCTCCTTTGTATCCTGGGGTTCCTGTGTCCTATTCTGGGGCTACTACCCACTCAAATCATGTGTCTTCTTTATCTCTGTTGTCTCCGTCGTCTTCTGTGCCCCATCATGAGGCTCCTCCCCAGTCCAATCCTGTGTCTCCACTGTCCCACTCCTTTGTTTCCATTGGCTTGTAACTGTAATGAACGTTATGTAGTGTGTGAGAGTTAGGGTCTGCGTGCAGCATAACTGTCAAAATATCGTGAACTGTTTTTTTAATGGATTGTTGGATTGTTGGATTGTATTTGGATTATTCTTCAGAGAGGGGAAGAAAGCGAGAGAAGGATGGGTAGGGGCAGTGGGTGGGTGGGGTGGGTGGGGGGTTTAGGTAGAGAAAGGAGGGAGGAAAAGCGGGTAGAGAGATTCATGAGGTTCAGCAAATTACCAATAGTCTACCTCCGTGTCCCATTTCCAGTCATTAAATTTGTCGCACCTAATGTATTTGTCATCACATTGCATTATAACATGAAATAATTGCTTAAATCCTATCAAACGTACTTTTTTTGTTATTGTCATTAACAATACCTCTCAAGCGGCGTGCATCAAGTCGGTTGCACCACCTAGCAACAGTAAGTGCAAACTAGTTCGTCTTGGCATGTGCTGGGTTGATAATGATGAGAGGGAGCTAGTTATTACTCTATGACTGCAGGCAGCATCATCATCATCATCAGCAGCAGCTCACTGCCGTCCTCACATCTCTTCTCATTGTGTCTCCGTGCTATAGACTCACAGCTCTCCTTACAATTCCACTTTACCTCGTATGACCGCAGCTGCTGATCGGTGTTGCCGGTGTTGAGTCCTGCACAGCGTAGTGCTGGGGTTGCTAATGCTGCACGGGTATGTGCACGGGTTAGTGAGCAGTCGTCCGTATATCCGTATATCCGAGCATTTGCTTGTCACGTTCCCCATGACCAGTCACCAATGATCGCTGATTTGTTGACGATGGTTAACCTTCATCGGTCACTCGTGTCCATATATATATATATATATACATTGTATACATACATTGTGTACATATATACATATATTGTACATTGTTGTGAGGTTCGAGTGTAGAACCTTGAGTGTAGAACTATATGTATATATATATATATTATATATATATATAGGTATATATATATATATACAGGGGTAGAAATTAACTTTTGAACAAGGACTCCCTGCCCTCAAAAAGAGGGAGTCCGCGGCAAAATGAGGGAGTTCGCAGTCTGAAGTTCAAAATTAAAGATATTAA